CCACTATTCACTCCCCAATGACTAGCTAGCCACAAGGACACAAATCAAGAAAATCTCTCTCCCCCATAAAAAAAAAGAACGAAAAAAGAAAAATCAAACTACAGTGGTCCCAAAGAAAGCAGTAGCAGCAGAATCAGAATCTGCACCTGCAGTCGCAGAGCCTAGGAAGCAGTAGCAGCAGAAGTAGAAGCAGAATCTGCAGATGCAGCCGAAGAAGATCCTACCATTTCCGTGCTAGGTTGCGCGTGCGAAATCCACGCCAACCACCTCTTCACAACCCCTTCCCCCTCCTTCCTCCGGCCGCCTCTCCCCTCACACCTTCTCAACCCCATTATCTCCGACACGCTTCTCTCTCCAATTATCATCATCATCTCCGACCTCAAATACAACAACTCCCCCGCCTCCACGTCGCTCCACCTCCTACACCTCCCTTCCTCCTCCTCCTCCCCACCTCCAGAGATTATTATCCTGTGCTCCACCCGACGCTTCTCCCCAAGCACCACACCCGGTGACGTCATCAACAATCCCGTGTCCCTCCTTCTGCTCCTCCGCCTCCCCGAATATCGATCCTCCACTATGATCTCCAGTGACCCATCCGAGTGCCTCCTCCCTGATGACGACAGCCTCGCGCTGCAGTCAACCGGGCAGTTGTACTGCGCGGTACTACTATCATGCCTTCCAGAAGACAGTCTCGCGCTATACAACTGCTGGTGGTCCACTGGACAGCTGTACTGTGCGGTACTAGACAGTCTTGCGCTGTACAGCTGCTGCTGGTGGTCCACCGGGAAGCTGTACTGCGCGGTACTACTGCTGGAAGATTGTCTCGCGCTGTACAGCTGCTGATGACAGCTGTACAGTGTGTCCTCGGGACCCACTCTGCATCGGCAGAGTGGGCAAGTCGGGTGGGCCTCGAGCCACGTGTCGACACACTCGACGTGGAAAGCGTGGCTGCATTTGGGGAGGAGGCGGAGGAACTCGTCTGGGTCGAACCGGTTGAGGCAGACGGCGCACTCCAGCCCGTCTTTCTTGTGGCCTTTGAGGGACGAGAACCGGAAGATTGGGAGGGATTGGATCGTGAGACGGTCCGCGCCGCCGGAGTTCTTGCAGGAGGGCGGCGGCGCCGCCGGGGAGGAGGAGGAGTCCATATTGCAGTGCTTCACGTAGAGGAGGAGGAGGAACGTGACGGAGAAGATGGTCGTGAAGATCCCGACTGTCACCGCGATCCCGGGCTTGAACTGTTGGTGGCCGGAGCCGGCCGGAGTGGGACCCGCCGGAGGAGGAGTTGCCGTGGTGTTCGTGTTTTCCGACTGTTGTTGTGCGGTGACGAGGCTGAGGAAGAGGAAGAGGAAGAGGACGTGGTGGAGGTTGAGAATGCTGGCCATGTAATCAAAGAATGCCTTTTTATTTTTATTTTTTTATTTTTTTGGTATTGAGGTTATGAAGAGGGAATCAGCAAAGATGAGGCCTTTTTGTGTGTACTTTCTCCCACTGTGTGGATCTGTGTGTTTGTTTTGTATATTGCGCCGCCTTGAAAATTGAGACAATGTGTAAGAGACTGTGAACATGATGTAATGGCTAATGCCTCATAAATGTACATTCAATACTGTCTTTCATGCTGTACAGAGGAAAAATAACACAGGACAAAGAAGGATTTTTTTTTGGGGTGGTGGGGCAGTGAGGGGAGTTTAATTATATAATTTATATTGCATTGTTATTATTATATATTTATTTTATAATACAGCTCCATATTTTTATGTACATTAAATTAAATGTATGATTATTAAAAAGTATATAGTGCCCCTCAAAATAACTTTATGGATCCGCCCCCGGTCAGCAGCGTGGTGGAGAGGTGACGAGCTTGGTCGAGCAGCTCCTTCTCAACAATGGCGGTTGGCGGATGCACGTGAGAATGAAGAAGATGGCTTTCTCTCTCCTTCAATATTTTAGCTTTCAATTGACCACTTTGCCCTCAACTTAATGGACTCTTGGGCCAGCCCACTCCTAAGTGTGTTATCTTGGGCCACTAATTCATCTTGGAATATATAGAGGAATTTGCACAAGGTATGGTCCCTTTATTTTTTTATTACATAAATATAACACCTTAAAAAATATTAGCATATTAACATAATCTATTGATTTTATTGCACAAAAATACCACATTAGAGATTAAATCTGGTGAAATTTTGTTTATGCGTAATTAAAGGTAAAAACTTATCATTCCAAATAACTCTCCTTCTTCTACAAGTTTATATGACGCGAGTTTTTTTTTTCTATTTGTGGCTCCTCGACAACTTGCTGCAGGAGAGGATCGAGCGTGCTGATCCGCGGCTTCGCCAAGTCTTTATCACCGGCGACTTCTCGAGCGTGATGATGGTACACGAGCGACGATTTTTCGATGATGGGGGTAGATTCTCGATGGTGGAATCCATCTCCTTCTCCCCGTCGCACAATTCTCAGCCGACCGAGGCGATGCCACTGAGATACGCCCGTCGCCGTCGAGGAGGGGAAGAACCGACGCCGTCAGGTGAGCCTGCAGATGCAGAGACGAGGGCCATGGCTAAAGTTTCGGCTCTTAATCTGGGTTCATGTTAGAAAAAACTGGAAACTGGAACTATTTTCAGTATATGTTCGATATATGTTCAGTATATGTCCCCAATTTCTGCTGGTATATTTTGAGTAATGTTTGGTATATTTTGAGTAAAAATATGTTGTGTATATTTTTGAGTAATGTTTGGTATATTTTTTATTTTAATCGACCAGTCATTTTATTTTTGTGGTATATTTGCATAACTTTTCTTAAGAAAAAGATCGATCGCACCTCTATCGTTTATGTTGTGTTGTGGTATATCTACAGTATATGTTCGATATATGTACAGTATATGTTAAATATATATGTATAGTCGCAAGATAAAAATTCCGATTTTTTTTTTCCTGGTAACATCCCGAAAATCATGCTGAGAAGATATGGAATGGAGGATGTTACGATGGGTAACTGATTTTTAGGCAATAATGTAATTATTGTTTGTCTACTAAGTATATACATAATTATTTGTTTGTGAATGGTAAATTCAAAATTACTTCAATTTCGTGCGGTATGCTTAAAAATTTCCCACTTTTTTTGATGCCCCACAGTTAATGGGCTTTTGTTTCCTATCTTGAACAACATTTGGGCTCTCTTTCTTGGACCGAGTCATGATAAGCCTAAATCATTTTTTATGGTGAATTAGTCTGGGCTTCAACACGAAGAACTGGCCCAACGAATTTTCGGCTCACCCCAGTTCTCGGGGCTATTGTGATTTTTTTTGGCATGGTTTTTTAGTGTACGATGATATTCTTATGCAGAACACATTAAATTTATGATCAATCATAACTGGATTTAAATATAATTTTGTGTCAATTTTTTAGGCAAAAAGATTGTTTCAAAATAAGTTTATTTCATATAAAGGTTGTCAAAAGAGTAAAGTTCAAGTTGCCTTATTTTTATACCTCTTTGGTACGGTTCCTTTGTCAAATTCCATAATTAGAAGTATTGTGTAGGGTTGTGTGCTAAAAGGATACAAAGTTGACTCTGGATTGCCCAACAAAATATTTATTATATAAAGTCAAAAATTTTATGGAGCCATCGAATGATTTTTGTATAGAAACATCTACCACTTAATGTATTGACGCCTGTTCAAATTGTATTTATTATAGGACTGGTGTCATTACACTATTGGTGAATAATCGACGACTTCATAAGTCGAGCCATCCGATGGCTCTATAGCAAAATTGTATATAAAATTGAAATCATGACATTTCACAATAAAATATTTATTTTAAAGGTGAAATTTACTTATTTCATTTAAATATTTTGACCCATAATATGCATTTTAAACGGACGCATTGTTTTCAAATTAATTTATACTCAGTAAATAAGCCGAGTCAAGCTGAACTCAAACTCCTGATATTGAAATCGAAGTCAAGCCCAAACCTTTATTGAGTCAAGCCGTGCTCGTCTGATTAATAAACAAGCCAATAAATGAGTTCCATTATAGAAAATTATGAAGTTATTTATATTTTCGAGATTTAACGAATTAATAATACCTTAAAATATAGCCTTAAAATTAGGGGTAATATATGAGTTGAAGCTTATAATGCATTGAATATATTGTATTAAAATGCGCCAAAAATTATTCTCAAACCAAGTGACGACCGCAACATAACTGATGATGATACTGTATAATCTCAACCTAGAGCATAAAAGTATTTTAATATGGAGGGCAAATGGTATTTTGTAATAGAATTATGTGGGCACAAATTTAATTTAATTTTACATTATAACTACTATATTTTCAAAATATGAAAGACAATTAAGGATATTTATTTATCAAGGGACTTATATACTTATATTCAAATTCATGAATCCAACGTGCAACTTGAAGAAAGGGTTTT